TTTTTGCATCTTTGTCCACGGTGAGACCAGACTGATAATTATCCCTTCTCAAACGTTCCCAGCTTTGGAATGAAAGTAACACTGGCCTTATACAGAATGAGTTTGGGAGCGTTTCCTTTCCCCGTCCCTGGCTAACGCTTTGACAAGTGTCCACCAACTCAGTGGCTTAAAGCAACACAAGCTTACCTTACAGCGCTGGAGGTGAGGCGTCCAACCCAGACCTCGCTGGGTGAAAAGTCGGCAGGGCCGTGTCCCTTCAGGGGCTCTAGGGAGAGCTGCTTGGCCTGTCCCAGCTCCCAGAGGCCGCGTGCACCCCCTGGCGCGTGCCCTTCCTCCACCTTCAAAGCCAGAGGCCTCAACCACGCGCCAAGTCCCATCTGCCAGGGAGCAGGGTGTGGATACCTTGGGGGAAGGGCCATTATTCGCCCACTAGCAGTTTGCGAAAGACTGGCTTTCTTCTTCAAATGTCTCAAAGGCTTCCTGAAGGAAGTTCTATCAGCCTGATCTTTATGGAGGTTTTAATTACAGATTGCCTTTGTTATGAGATTTTCCTGTTAAATCTTACACCAGTCAGTTAACTCTTAAGTTTAATTGGTCATCTCCTCTATATTTTCAAGTGTATTGACAAAGTTTTCCTGTCTACTGGGCCTGTAGTAATGATATCCTGTTTTGACTTAGAGTGAGACTCTAACTCAAAAAAAAAAAAAAAAAATCCAGCTGGGCGCGGTGGCTCACGACTGTAATCCCGGCACTTTGGGAGGCGGAGGTGAGAGGATTGCCTGAGCCCATGGGTTCGAGACCAGCTTGGGCAAGACCTGGTCTCTACCATAAATCAAAAAATTTGACGCACACCTGTGGTGATGCACACCTGTGGTTCCAGCTACTTGGAAGGCTGAGGTGGAAGGATCGCCTGAACCCAGCAGACTGAGGCTGCAGTAGCTTTGATTGTGCCACTGTACTCCAGCTTGGGGGACGGAGTAAGACCCTAACTCCAAAAAAAAGAAAGACATTAGATTTGCCGAGGTATAATGTACATATGGTGGACAGTATTTTAGGTGCACAGTTCTGTGACCCCAACTCAAAATAAAAAAAATAAAATAAAATGGGGATAATAACAGTCCCTGTAATGTCTTTTCCATATGTTGTTTTGAAGCTCAAATCTAGTCTTTGTACAAGCATGTGCGGCCACAGCAGCGCCACCAAGACACAGGGGACGTCCGCGCCTCTCGGGGCTTCCCGTGTCCTTTCAAGGCAGCCAGGCAGCTGGCAACCACAGCGGGTTGTGTCCCCGTCGTTTGGCCCGCACAAGATGCCGCGGGCAGAGCTGTGCCGTGGCCAGCCCCCGGCGTCGGGCTCCCTCGGCCTGGGTGGCTCGCACCTCGGCAGGCGTCGCCGCTGGCTGCCCTCAACGGGGCG